ACTGCCTGAAAGGAGGCTGGAGCCGGGGGGGTCGGTCTCTTCTCCCCAGGAACAAGCGATGGGACGAGAGGGAACGGCCTCAAGCTGCGCCAGGGCAGGTTTGGGTTGGGTATTAGGAAAAACTTCTTCCCGGAGAGAGCGGTCAGGCCCTGGCCCAGGCTGCCCAGGGCAGGGGTGCAATCACAGTCCCTGGAAGTGTTCAAACTGTGTGGATGTGGTGCTTAGGGACAGGGTTTAGAGGTGGCCTGGCAGTTAGGGTAGCGGTTGGGCTCGATGATCTCAGAGGCCCTTTGCAACCTTAACGATTCCGTGATTCTATGATTCACTGCGCAGGGGACGGGCTCAGACAAGGCTGTCGGGAGCCCTCCCGTTGAGTCGCGGGGCTCAGAGAGGCCCCCCCGGCTTTCTAAACCTCTCGGAGAGGAGCCTCGGTGCGGCTGGATCCAGACTTAGCCTCAGAGTTGGTCAGCGGTTTATGTCTAAGGGGTTATAGGTGCGCAATCAATCCTTTACATCGCCTAGCTAAGATTTCAAAGTTTAGCATGCTGTTAGTCGCTCACCGAGGATCTGTTGCGGCAGGGAATCTCTCAGCCTCGAGGAGGAACCCGGAGAGGCGTCCCTGCTCACGGGGAGATCCCGGCGTGCAGCCTGCTGCCGTGCAGGAGCGCACCGGGCTCTTGGGCTGCTCGCTGTTTATGGGGGAAGACGATCGACTCGTCGTCATGTCTGCATACCGACCGCAGGTGCTGTTTTTTCCCCAAATCTGGCTTGAATCGGGCCGGACCAGCCCTGCGGGCAGGTGGGCGCGTTGTCCTGAAAGCGGGGTCGTTCACCCGGTGCGCAGACGCCTTCACGCACGGAGCAGAGGGATTTTATTTCACGTCTGCGCAGAGATGGGTGCGGGGTGGTAAATCCGCAAAGCTAGCGCACCTCCGTACAACACTACAGCGTATTTATTTTCCTACACGATTAGTATAGTCCCGCCTAATTTTACACTTATTGGTTAGCGATTCACATGTCGTACACTATTGGTTTACGCTATTGAAATTCAATTTAAAATTTGCTATGCAAATTAGCCCGCATGCTCCTTTCAGGTAGGGGGTACAAGTCTTTTCGGTCCGGAATTGAGTCGGTGGTCACGATCGCCCCTCGCCACCTTTACCCTTCACCCAGTTTCTGCAGTTTTCTCCAACTTCATGTTTCTCTGGCCACCCTCCAGGCTTTGGTGCCAAGATGTTCCCTTTTATCAGCCCGGTAGCTCTTCTCCAAGGGTCTAGCCCTTAGTTTTCCACCGTTCGTTAATGCAACAAATACTCCTGTAGCTCCCTCCGAGATCGCTTTCCCAGAGCACAGCTGTAGTTTTGCTCGCTGGCAAATTTTCACTTTCTGCAGGCTATCGGGCGCGTTGCCATAAATTAGCCCTCGGTTGTCGTCGTGTTCCCCGTCTGCCCCGAACCCAGCCTGAGCCGAGGGCAGCCATCGCGGCAGCGCCGGCGGCGAGCCCCCACGCAGAGCCGCGGGAGGGGGTTGGGGCGGGGGAGCGCACCCCCACAGGCTTTTCCTCCGGCCAGCAGCGCGGCTGCGGGTGATTTAGATCCGAGTTGGTGCCGTTGGCCAAGCGCAAAGGGTGTCAGAAAGTGGGAGAGGGTGGACGTAAATAGGAGGGGAAACGGCTTCTTGCCATCCTCTCCGTGGGTGTCCTCCCAGCACGGTCGCTGGGAACACAAAGCTCCGGCCGCTGCCTCTTCCCCTGCTCCTGTTTCAGACCCGCAAAGGCTCCGGGAAGGCTTTGCACCAGGGCCATTTCTTCCCCGCCGAGCCCCAGCCCGTTCCTTCCCGCATCACCAATCTCCAAGCAAAGCCCAAACTGTTCTCCCAAAGCGGGGTCGTTTGCCCGGCGCACAGACGCCAATTAGCACGGAGCAGAGGGATTTTATTTCCTTCACATTTCATGCACTGTTGGTTTACTCTATTTAAATTTAATTTAAGTTTTGCTACGCAAATTAGCCCACGTGCTCCTTTTGCGGGGGGTGCAAGTCTTTCCAGCCCCGAATCGAGTCGGTGGTGGCGATCTCCCCTCGCCGCGTTTCCCTCTCACCCGGTTACTGCAGTTTTATCCCACTTCACGCTTCTTCACCAATCGCTTTGGCGCCAGGATGTTCCCTTTTATTGGTCCGTTAGCTCCTCTTCCAGGGCACAGTCGTTAATTTTGTTAATAAAACAGATACTTCCTTCTCTTTTAGCTCCTTCTCCTTATTGCCAGATTCTCTTCGCAGAGCGCAGGTGCTTCACGGTTTTGCTCGGTGGAAATTCCTCTTTCTGTGGGCCAGCAGAACCGCAGAACATCTCAAGTTGGGAGGGACCGGGGAGGACCATCAAGTCCCCGAGCCAAGTGGCCTCAGCCGCCGCTCCTGAGTTGTGTCCCCAAGCCCCTTCACCACCTCGGTCGCCCTCCCCTGGACGCTCCCGCGCCTCGACGCCCTCCTTGTATCGCGGCGCCCAAACCCGCGCCCAGCGCTCGAGGTGGGGCCCCAGCGTGGTGCCAAGCGGGACGATCGCCTCCCTCGACCGGCTAGCGCTGCTGTCCTCAATGTGCCCCAGCACACGGGTGGCCCTTTTGGCTACCAGGGCACCGCTGACTCCCATTCCGCTTGCCATCCCCCAGATCTCTTTCCGCGGGGCTGCTCTCCAGCCTCTCGTCCCCCAGTGTGTGCGTGTAACCAGGATTGCCCCATCCCAGGCGGAGAATCCGGCCCTTGCTCTTGTTCCGTGTCCTGTGGCTAGTGCCGGCCCCGCGCTGGCCTCTCTAGATCTCTCTGCAAGGCCTCTGCCCTCGAGGGAGCCCGCTCCTCCTCCTGTTCGGTATCATCAGCAAATTTACTGAAAGTACATTCGATTCCTGCGTCCAGATCGCTTATGAAGACATCAAAGAGCACAGCGGCCTTCAAATCGAGCCCTGGGGAACGCCACTGGTGGCTGGCCGCCAGCCTGACGTCACCCCGCCGACTACAACCCTTGGAGCCCGACCCCTCAGCCAATCGCTCGCCCAGCGCACGACGGACCCGTCCAGCAGCGTGCCGGACCGTTTGTCTAGGCTACCGTGATGGAGAGCATCAAAAGCTTTGCCAACACCCCAAACCACAACATCTACCGGCTTCCCTCGTCAGCTGGACGGCCAACCTCGTCACAACTGGAAATTAAGCGGGTTAAGCGGGACTTTCCCCTCGTGAACCCGTGCTGGCTACGGCCAGTGACTGTGTTCTCTCTCGAGTGTTTTTCAGTGACTCCCAGAACAACCTTCTCCGTAATTTTACCCGCGCAGAAGTGAGACTGACAGGCCTGTAACTACCAGGGCCTGCCTTCCCACCCTGCTCGGAAACCGGGACAACGTTCGCCAGCTTCCAGGTGACTGGGACCTCTCCACACCGCTGAGAAATAACGGAGAGAGGCCCCGCGGTGACAGCGGCCAGCTCTTTCCGTACCCGGGATGGATCTTTCTGTACCTGGGATGGATCCCATCGCCGCCCAGACTTAGGCACATCCGCCGGAGCAGCCGGTCCCAACGAGTTCAGGGTCGGCTGGGAGTTCCTCACCCCCCCGTCACAATCCTCCCGCCCAGGGCTCCCAGCACTTACAGCCTATTCACAACTTCTGCCGCTTCCCCATTCTGCTGCCCCTTACCTCTCGTTACGCACGTTCCTTAATTTATATTTAACTCTATCAAATAAACCCGAGCTTGTCTAAACGCTCCCGGGCCCAGCAGGGGCAGGACGAGCACAGCCTCCTGGCAACAGGAGTGTTCATCTCACTGATTTTTACCAGGCTCCAGGCTTTACCTGATGTTTTACCAGAAAAATCAGGCTTTACCTGACTTTTATCTGATGTTTTACCTGAAAAATCAGGCTTTACCCGATTTTTACATGATTTTTTTACCTGAAAAACCAGGCTTTACCTGATTTTTACCTGATTTATTAACCGAAAAATCAGGCTTGACCCGATTTTGACCTGATTTTGTTACCTGAAAAACCAGGCTCTACCTGATTTTTACCAGGCCCCACCGAGCGGTGCTCTGTCAGTGACGGGGACGCGGGCAGCCGCCCCGAGAGCCCCGAAACAGCCGCCCCCGCC